GGCCACCACCCGCACGACCAACCAGGGCCAGGGACAAACTGCAACCGAGGCACATGCCCCTAGCGGGAACCAAACCCGGTTCTCTCCAGACCGCAGGCCGACGCTCCAACCGCTGAGCCAAACTGGCCAGGGCAAGTTCAATGACATATTTAAAGCCCTTAGACCTCTTCCTGATGATTATTCACCTCTGATAATACAGATAAGAGAAATGGAAGAGATCATTTAAAAACTCCTAAGTAACTCTTTGTTGTTGTTCACGTTTTACTGATTTTTTTAGAGAGAGAGAGAGGTAGAAACATCGATGTGAGAGAAACTGGGATGCCTCCTGCATGCCCCCCACTGGGGATCGAGCCAGAAACCCAGGGACTCAAACCAGGACCTCTCAATTCATGGAACAACACTTAATCCATTGAGCCACACTAGCTGGCCCTAAGTAATTCTTTTTTTCTTTTTTTCTTTATTGATTTTTTAGGGATAGAGGAATGGAGAGGAAGAGAGAAAGAAACATCGATGAGAGAGAACATCGACTGGCTGCCTCCTATATGCCCCTCACTGGGGACTGGGCCCACAACCTGGGCATATGCCCTGACCGGGAATTGAACCGGCGACCTCTTGATGCAGAGATCAACACTCAACCACTGAGCCACACCAGCCAGGCTTTTTTTTTTTTAAATCCTCACCCAAGGATATTCTTCCATTTATCTTCAGATAGAGCTGGGAGAAGGGAGGGAGAGAGAGAAAAACATTGATATGAGAGATATACATTGACTGGTTGCCTCCCGCATGACCCCGACCAGGGCTGTGGGTGAACTGCAACTGAGGTACGTGCCCTTGACCAGAATTGAACCCAAGACTCTGGTCCACGGGTTGACGCTCTAACTGCTGAGCCAAACCGGCCAGGGCTTACAACAACCTTCAACTCTATAAACATGTAGTTACTTTTTTGTTTACAGATGCCTGTATACTAAAATCCTCAATCACATACATACTGGTATACAGGTTTGGATTTAAGCAAGTTAGTAACACATCTCTTGTTTCTTTATCAATCCTGACTCTCCACAATACGTTTTTCTTCTAAACTGCTACTTCCTTGTATTACTAAGTATTTTTTCCTATACACTCATCTACACATACACACACAATCTCCTTTAACTGTGAGACCAGAATCCTCAGGAGGTGGCCATGTACATCACAATAACCAGAGTTTTACTTAGCTGTCCTGGAGACTCTGGATTGCTGATCAGTAAAATATCACACTGCAAACTGTTGGTGTGGGGTCCTGAAGGATTTCAGTGAGTCCAGGTCTGATTGCTCTGTCATGTAGAAGCCTTCTCCTGAAACCCTCTAAAAGAATCTTTAATATCTTTATGGCACTCTACTTTCACTGATGATTTAGATCTATTTTATCTATGGTTATCTGGATTCAACTTGTTTGCATATCATCAAGGAAAAATATAATTTAGGAAGTCAAGTGGACAGAAGGTTCACACTAACTTAGCTGCAAGATTATAGTTATAAATTGTTGAGATAAAAAAAAAAACACACAAAAACAGGCCCTAGCCGGACTGGTTTGGCTCAACGGTTGGAGCGTCGGCCTGAGGACCAGAGAGTCCCGGGTTCGGTTCCCACTAGGGGCATGTACACAAAAACAAAACAAAACACAGATTTAGATCAAGTGTATCTCAATCTTCTTTATCTAGAAACCAATATTCAACACATCTACCCCTTTTTTATTTATTTTATTTTATTTATTTATTTTAGGGGGGGGGGAGAGGGGAGAGAGAGAGACAGACATTGATTTGTTGTTCCACTTATTTATGCATTCAGTGGTTGATTCTTGTATGTGCCCTGACCAGGGATTGAACCCGAGACCTTGGCTAATTGGGACAACACTCTATCCAACTGAACTACCCAGCCAGGGCAAGTCTGAAAAAGAGAAGGGTAGGGAACAAGATTCCATACATCAAAGTGAGAAATCTTAAGGGCAGAATCTCACCCTAGTTTGGAGCACTCCTCATTTCCCTGACTCCCTCTTCTTTTTGGGGACTGGCTATCTACCAACCACTCCAAACTTGTTCTCTGACTGCCACTACCCATGCTGGGAAACAAACAATGACTTCAGTGGTCCCCTCATCACAACACTCTTGTGAGGAGCTGGGATATGTCCCTCTTATACTTGTTGTGGTAAAGAGAAATATGTTCAGAATGGGAAATATAATTTTATCTGTGCATAGACAAATCTCTAATATAGGAGCATGTTTTATAATGGGAATTTACTGTGTAAATTTATTAACTACATCCTTTCTAAGAATTATAAAATTGCCTTAACTAAACTGTATTTTTATATTTACTCAAACTGGGATCAAGCACTAAAATAAAAAATCCCTTAGGGCTTTTAACATGTAAACTAAAATTCAAAATAGAGATAAAACAGATTGCTTCATAAAGTGAAGGGAACTCTGTAGCCTCTGGGAATATGTAAGATCCCTCTTGTGCAAAGTGAAATTTTCTCTTTCAGTCATATTCCAAAATAAGTGAGAAAATTTAAGCTGCATGGAATGATACCTGAATGAGCTAAGTTCTTCTATTTGAATAAAAATTCATTAGGTTCAAGTATTAAGGAAGAAAATTAGGCACTACAAAAGTTTAATTCTTAATCCACTAATGACCTGCTACCAAACAGTTTGAGAAAGATTTTTTTCACTGTAATTCTTTTCCAACAAAAATCATTGTGAAGACTTAGGAACACAGAGAGTGATAAGTTACAGGGGTCATGTAGAGGAGAGAAGGGCTCCTGCCTCTGTGCTCCTTGTCTAAGTCTCCACAGAGGATTTGTGACTGGCAGGTCAGTCATATAACTGGTCAAAGTGTCCCTGATACTGACACTTGGCTCAGTAATTCATCAATGACTCCCTCAACTCTCCATTTCTTCACCTAATTTTCCAGTCACACATTCAAGAAATATTTATTAAAAGTCTGTTATGCCTTGGCCGGTCTGGCTCAGCAGTTGGAGCATCAGCCTGTGGACCAGAGAGTCCTGGGTTCGGTTCCCGCTAGGGGCACGTACCAAAAAAAAAGTCTGTCATACACATACATACATAATACATGCCAACCCTCCAGGATCTCAATTTACTTCAGGATAAAAGGCAAGTAAATAGGCAATAATAATACAAACACATGCCATTACAGGGGTAAGTACCAAGTGTTAAGGAACCTTATAGGGGTGAATAACCAATCCAGCTTCAGAGGTTAGAGAAAATTTCCTGGAAGAGGCATTGTTGAAAACTAAAACTTTAAGGATAAGTAGCAGCTGGCCAAGCCAAGAGATGTGAATACAATGGTAAGGAATATTCCAGGTGGGAACAGCAAGTGAAAGGCAAAGATGAGAAAATGCAGAAGGTCCCAAATGGCTAAAATGGAGAGGAGGGTGGGAACCGAGTAACAGCTGATCCACCCTCGAGCTGTGCTGTGGGGATTTCCTAACTTGCCCCTTGTGGCCTTTCTCTGAGAGACTGGCAAATCAGAGAAAAGAATCTCTTGATTTTAGCAGCAAAAGGGGATACTAATAAATACTTAATTTCAGAAACCTTGTCACAGGCTATATGAAATTAAGGCAATGAAAAGACTGGATCAACAGATAAAACGTTCCTATTTCCAGCTGAAATATCGCTCCTACACTGCATATGAAATATAACTCCATGTATAAAATACTCATTAATGTAATTCAGCAATGAATAGATACTGTCTATTCATTGTGACTAAATCAATGTGATCACGAGAAGTTATTACAGCAGCTAGGGCAGAAATAGGGGGAACTCAGCACCTGAAGAAGCTGGGCCTTGTGTGCTGAGTTCTTCAGCGACTCATGGCCTTCTTCTCTGGGCCTCGAATCATTAACTACACAAGAAATAGTTGCTTTGGTTGTTACCCACACTTCTAAACCCCATTATTCTGGCAGGCTATCATAATCAAAAGTAATCACCAAAGGCAAGGATTTAAATAACTTTAATAAGTCAAAGACTTACTATGGTTTTGTCTGAGGAAAAAAGGGCTTTCAAACTCTTAAATTCAAAAAACAGTTCATTTCAGTTCATGTACCTTTTAAAAGTTAACAAGTTGTGCATAACCAAATATAAAGATAATTAAAATTTTAGGAAAATCAAATGAGATTATTTTGTTTTTTTAAGAAAAGAGAAAGTAAAAAATTTAATATAACTAGGCAGGCAATGATTCGGGTTGCTCACTTCCCTTTCCGTTGGTTTCATTTCCCTGCTTAGGTTAAAATACTCCTAACATGTAAATTATTCCACTAGAGACTGCCAGAGTCCTTTCTTAGCAATCTACAGGGATGTTTATACAAAAGAAATTATTTCTAGACTTCCACACGACAGAAAAGACATATAAAACACTGGGAACTGAAAAATTAAAGCAAACTGAAGTACACATATATATGCAAAGCAGAAGCAAATAACTGAGGATTCTAATTTTAACAATTTAAAAATGTTTCAACAGCAAAATGTGGATCTTCTATGATTTTAGGAGTTTTGTAGCAAAGAGTTAACTCTGTTTAGGAGTACCTAAATGCCAGATATTATGTTAAACTCTTGGGATTTTTCTGGTTTCAAGTCTTCATAATCTTAACAAATGGGTATTATATCTATTTTAACTATATAGAAACTAAGTAGGAACAAAAGCTCAGAGTGGCTGGGTAACTTGACAAAGTCACACAGCTTAGAAAATAAAGAAGCTATACTATGAATCCCATTCTAGTCAACATCAAATCTCATACTCTTTCAATCAATGATGCAGACTTGAAGCATCACAGTAAAAAAAATTGAAGATATTTTCCCTTTTTTGTATGATTCTCTTAAATACATGGCATCATTTCAAGGGAAGCTTATGCTGAGCATAACTTCATAAACAAATCATTTGTGAAAGAGAAAAACCACATCCAGTCAGAAGCTGAAAAAACCTTATTACAGAGTACTTCCTGAAAGAGACAAAGCAGCAGCAAGTACCAACTCCTATACTAAGAATTATCTTTGAGACAACGTTTTAAAGGAACAGAAGATCTTAAAACAAAGAAATATATCATTTCTTAAACATACCATTTCCAGAAAGAGAAGCAACCTCTTTTACAGAACTGGGTATACCGAAAAATGTTCCTCTCTAATACAGCCTTTTGATGGACATGAGGTAAGTCGAATTTAATTAACTTCATCACAGATTATCGGCAGTAATCCTGTACCTACTAAATTTAAAAATCATTGTTTTATTATTATTTTTTTAATCCTCACCTGAGGATATTTTTTCCATTTTTTGTACAGATAGAGTGGGAGGGAGAGAGAGGAAGGGAGAGAGAGAGAGAAACATCGACGTGAAGGGACACATCGAGTGGCTGCCACCCGCACGACCAACCAGGGCCGGGGACAAACTGCAACCGAGGTACGTGCCCTCAGCGGGAACCGAACCCGGGTCTCTCCGGACCGCAGGCCGATGCTCTAACCGCTGAACCAAACTGGCCAGGGCCATTGTTTTATTTTAATAATACATTACTGACACCATGGTGGTGAAGACCCTTGAAATGAATTACACTGTCACCTTCTCGCATTAGTAATATGATTTTTCACTTATTTTCAACATTGTTTTACTTTGATAGTAAATGTAATTTTGTTCAACTTAAGGAAAATATAGATATGATAAATCATAAGCATATTTAAGAGTCATCACTTGGTTTCAATTACTATGTTTCACAAAATGTATTTTAAGGCTTTTAAGAAAAGAAAGCCTATTAATAATCAAGGAATTGAAAGCTTTTAAAATGCTGACTTGAAACCCAATCACTTTTCAGTATTTATTCAAAAATGTATGTGTGTGTGCAGAGCACAACCTATACTGGCAATGCCTTTAAAACACATGCATCATGAGCAAATGAATACAAATGTTGGTAACATACAAGCAGTCTGAGGCCAAATGGATAGGGGGAGTACTTAAAAATGGTTTGTAAATACAGAATTTATGTGACAAAATTTGGGGAGGAGGATGGGTGAAGGGAGTCCTGATATAGTATTAAAAAAGAAGAAAAAAGGATTAAAAATTTCATTTATATTATAACTGCTACTACTTAAAAATTCACTGAGAGTTAAAAATAAGTCAAAACTCCAAAATTATTCTCCTTTGTATAATACTAAAGATTTAGTTTTTCTATGTAGTACTTTTCTCACTCGATAGAAATTAATATTCTACTCACATCAATATTTGGACATTTTAATTGAAACAGGCTTTTAAATATATTAGAAATCTATTCCAAAATCATATTTAACCTAAATATTTGGCAAACTAGCTATAATCAGGAAGGAAGGAAGGAAGGAAAGAAGGTGGAAAGAAGAGAAGGAGGGCAGGGGAAAAACATACTCATATCTCGTGTTTGTCCATAACAAGTATTCAAATTATTTTTAAATTATCAACAGCCCATGATGCCACTGACCAGACTGCTAACCTCCCCAACAGGGCTAAATTAGAGACACCTCCACTCTGCAAAGTGACATTTTTGAAGGAAACTGTTCTTACACCTCCATATTTCAAGGGGATGCCACAAAGTTCCATTTCTTTGTAGCAACTCTATTTTTAAAATCACTGGTGTTAGCAATGCATCATGGGTGACGGAAGTTTCACTGAGGGGGATGAATGGTATATACAATCACTGAACTCCTTTCCATTAGAAATGAACTATTTTTTGGTGATGGGAATTAGTTTTTGCATACACATAAAGTTACTGAGTGATGTCTTACTAATAACCACTTGTGTTTGATATTCCTTTTTAAAATTTAGTTTGACAAATAATACTTAAGCTTCTGTATCTAGGTACAGTGAGGACATGAAAATTACTATACAATACTAACAATATCTAATTCTCAAGGTGTTGTTTTCTGTGCACCACTGCAGCAGTGAGATCTGCTTCTAGGATGCTGGTAAACACCATCTGGAAGACTCAGCTTTAGGCACCCCCAACAGTGCAATAGAAACAGTGCTCATCTATTGTTCTAAGAGTCAAGTTCTTAATCTGTAAACCATGGCACAAGACACTGCTGTTTCTAGGCCTACAATAATTTAGAGAGAACATAATACTATGAAGAAGTATTTACCACTTAAAAAAAATGTAATGGCCAGCTAAGCAAGTCTTTATTGACAATCTAGAGAGTAGTTTCTGAGGGTCACCTCAGCAAAGTTTTCTTCCTTCACTCATCTGTTAATCAGGTAAATATTTACTTTTTGAACACCTACAATTTACTTAACAGGTGATGGGATATACCAGTGAAAAGGGAAAGTTCCTGATCTCAAATGAGAATTACTGTGAATATTCAGTAGTTAATATTATATGGCTCCTTTATTAGTTTTCTAATATATATTTTATACATAAAATTATATTTAATGAGTAAAAATTTATTCTTTGATATCAGTAATATGGGTTACAAAATATTTAAACAGAATAAAGATGATAAAAAGTGGTAAACTATATTGTAAGATTCAAAATTCAGAATGGCCTTTCCCCAATTAGTCCCAATCAAAGAACGCTTGCTATAGAAACAATAGCTATCCAATATCACATTATAGTAAAACAAATCATAAAGGTTATTCTTTGGAGAAGAGAGGTGGGCAGGGAGCGAGAAGATGAATAAATCTGCCAGTACTTTATGACACACCATACCACTTTAATTGGTTAGTACAGACTAACAATAATACCTAGGAAATTTATTAATAAATACTAAGACACATATATTAACTGTACAATATAAAGTACTCTCAAAATTAAAATCCACTGCATGCCAAGTATGAGAATGTTAAACATTTATTCTTCAGCAAAGGGTTTTAATCCTAATCTTCTCAACTGTCTTGCAGTTCCTAAGTGTCATGCCCACCAACAAACTATAAGATGACCACCTCTCACAATCAAGCTCAACCTGACTCTTCTAACAGCTCATATCCAGATGAATACAAAATTGCAGCCCTTGTCTTCTACAGCTGCATCTTCATAATTGGATTATTTGTAAATGTCACTGCCTTATGGGTTTTCAGTTGTACAACCAAGAAGAGAACCACTGTAACCATCTATATGATGAATGTGGCATTACTAGACCTAATATTTATAATGAGCTTACCTTTTCGAATGTTTTATTATGCAAAAGGTGAATGGCCATTTGGAGAGTACTTCTGCCAGATTCTTGGGGCACTCACAGTGTTTTATCCAAGTATTGCTCTATGGCTTCTTGCTTTTATTAGTGTTGACAGGTATATGGCTATTGTGCAGCCAAAATATGCCAAAGAACTTAAAAAAACACGCAAAGCTATGCTAGCATGTGTGGGAGTCTGGATAATGACCCTAATAACCACCGTCCCACTCCTACTGCTCTATGAAGACCCCGATAAAACCTCCACTCTTGCCACCTGCCTGAAGATTTCTGACATCATCCACTTAAAAGCTACTAACATATTGAACTTCACTCGACTAATATTTTTCTTCTTGACTCCTTTGTTCATCATGATTGGGAGCTACTTGGTCATTATTCATAGTCTCCTTCATGGTAGAACATCTAAGCTGAAACCAAAAGTCAAGGAGAAGTCTATAAGAATCATCATCACACTCCTGGTACAGGTGCTCGTCTGCTTTATGCCTTATCATATCTGTTTTGCTGTCCTGATGTTGAATGGGGATGAGAACAGTTACAATCCCTGGGGAGCCTTTACCACCTTCCTCATGAACCTCAGTTCCTGTCTGGATGTGATTCTCTACTACATTGTTTCAAAACAATTTCAGGCTCGAGTCATTAGTGTCATGCTATACCGCAATTACCTTCGGAGTGTGCGCAGAAAAAGCTTCCGATCAGGTAGTTTACGGTCACTGAGCAATATAAACAGTGAAATGTTATGAATAAGTTTTTTGTCTTCAATCTCCTTAAATTAACTTTACTAATTACCCTATAGTCAGGGCTATTTTGTATATTATCAAGTTCCTTCTTTCCTGGAAAAAAAATAAAAACTTTAAAAACTCTTTTGTGGGAACTTACGGCAACATAATTTTTTTTAAATCTTCACCTGAGGATATTTTTCTATTTATTGTCAGATAGAGTGGGAGGGAAAGAGAGAGAAACATCGATGTGAAAGAGACATATTGACTGGTTGCCTCCCACGCGACCCTGACCAGGCTACATGCCCGACCAGGCTACATGTGACTCTTTGGGTCCTTGGGCCGACGCTCTAACCACTGGGCAAAATTGGCCATGGCTGGAGCGATCTTTTAATGTGAAAACCTAATGGTTACTTTTTCTGAATATGACTCTACAAAGATCAGGAAAGTAATAGGGGCTGAAAACTGAGACTTGGGAAACAAACAACAGATGTTAACTATAGCTGAAGTAATGGGAGTGGACAAGATAGCCCAAAGAAAGCACTTGAAATAAGCTTGAGAAAGGAGTGGTAGACAGTAAATAAGGTCAAAAAGAACCAGGAGAAAATAGTGTGCTAGGACTCACGGGGACAGGTTATTTCATGAAATAATGGGAGGTCAAAAGTATTTAATGTACTATTGAAAGGTCAAATTAAGACAACTGAAAATAAGCCACTGGCTTTAAAAATTAGATGGATACTGGTGAGATTTATAAGAGAAGTTGCAAGAGTGGTAAGGTTAAAAAAAAGAGAGAGAGAATTAAATAGGAAGTGAAGAATTATAAAGAGAGCAGATATATTTGGCATTGATGGACAAAAGTAACGTGAAAAACACTGAAAATTATAAAGCATGTTGACCAAAAAAAAAATAAAATAAAATAGGAAGTAGGTTCCTCTCTTGAGTTTTTTGAAGCTTTGCTGTCATCAAATAAAAGATAATTTACAAAATGCAAAGTTTCTTTATTGAAGATTTACGTTCTAAGACGTCTGTTTGAAAAAGCTTCAAGATTCTAAAAAGCCATGCTCTCATTTTTCATGATTTGAAAAGAAAAAAAAAATACACTCTTCATTCAGGGATGGCTGAATTAACATTTATATTGTCTTTCAAAGGATCCTATAACTTTTAAATTTACTTAAGTTTGCAACTCTTATTATGAATTAAGATTTAAATAGGTAAATGCCTTCCTGCTTTAAGAATAAAAAAAAAGTATTCCCAACTTCAAAACTGAACCAATCCTTCTCATATGTACCTGCTAAAAGGATTCCATAAAGAAATACATGTCATTCATATGAAGAAATAACTGTCACTCAACTCTTTGTGCAATAGAAAAAAAGGTTATCATACAAGAGGACAGTGTAAATAAGACTTAAAAGCTATGCCCAAAATTTATTCTAAGACAAATTCACATGACACTTATATACTGTTCTATATAACTCAGTAGGTCTTTTAGAAAACTAAAAAGAACTGGTCTGGATGAGAAGTGTTAGAGAAAAACCAATGATTCAGTAATGCCACTGCTTTCCTGAATCAACATGAAATCATTCCTGATGGCTACACTATTTTCCACAATAGCAGAATAGTCGACTTGAACTTCTCAGTATCATTACAATCACAATCTGTGGATCTCAACAAAAACTGCATGGTAATTATGACACAGAATTTTGTCTCCAATTATTATTCAGAATCATACATTATTAAAACAGCTAAAGGTTGGCACTCATGCCAGCTACAAGTAAACCTCATAAAGGACAGCTACAGTGTAAATATTAACAAAGTAAATGTGAAAGCTACTAGATCACGAACTATATTTTTAAAATAGAGATCCAAAGTGAATTTGAATCAAAATACATACAATTGTCTAATAGTTCTCAAAAAACATGACATCAAAATTAATATAATGCTGAAGTTAGTACACACAGAATTTTAAATATCTGGTATTTTAATTCAAAGTATCTCTCAAACACAGTCTCTGATATTTAATTCAGAGATGCTTTAAGGTCACTTATATGTGCTAACAACTTTGCTCCTAGATATTAGATATTTCATAAACTAAAGCATGTTTTTTGTTTTGTTTTTAAAGAAAATCAACACAATATGAATGTATATACACTCTGAGTTAAGTTGGCCACTGCAGGTTGGCTAAAAATTGTACTTATATACTGACTTCATTTCATCTTTGGTGGAAGTATATAAACAATTATCAATTTTTAAAAGCATCATTCTTCAGAAGCTTAATTTCAGACAAATTAATTTATCTAATTTAATTAAACTTCATATTTTTGTGTTAAATTAGTTCACAGAATTACACAGACAAAATTTCACTATAAAATACACACATAAAATTAATTCTATCTTCAGTACCAGAACAGGAAATTCACTAAAAATTCCCTAAAATATGGGACTTCAAAGCTGAAAAAAAGGGTGTAAAACAAATTCTGTTTTAAGAACATAATGAAAATGTAAGTATACTCTGGAGTTTTTAATACATAAGATCAATTTTACTGTATTTAAAAGTTTAAAATATTATTTTACTGACTTTCATGTACAATAACACTTTAAATCAGATTTAATTAGTTATAAAATAAACTAATCTTTGAGAGCTACTTACAATCCAGAAGGCAAATTCCTGGATGTAGTGATACCAAAGGAATACCACACAGCTTCAACAAGGATGAAGTCAACCAACGCTGACAAAACCCAGGAACCCAGCAAAAAGGACTAAAAATAAAACAAAACATTATATAGAGGAGTCTTCTAAAAACAAACTTAACATTTTGCCCTTGCCGGTTTGGCTCAGCGGTTAGAGCGTTGGTTCTCAGACCAGAGGGTCTCCAGTTCAAATTCTAATCAAGGGCATGTACCTGTGTTGCAAGTTCAATCCCCAGCCCTGGGTTGGAGTCATATAGGAGGCAACCAAATGATGTGTCTCTCTCACATCTATGTTTCTCTCTCTTTCCCTCCCTCCCTTCCACTCTATCTATAAACATGAATGGAAAAATATCCTTGGGAAAGTAGTAACAATCCCTCCCCATTCAAAACAAAAATTAACTTAACATTTTTAAAATTAGAACCAATTTGTGTGTGTGTGTGTGTGTGTGTGTGTGTGTGTCTATGAATAAATTTTTCAAAATGAGAGAGTAGAGTTACATTAGTCAAATGCATTAACTGCCATAATTTCTAAGTAAAAATATTTATAGCATGATTTATTTTTAACAAGCAACAAAAAAACCATTAAGCAAAATAAGTGATTAGAATTTTATTAAAATCAACATACTAATTAAAATTATTATCTGATATTATTATCAATTATCATCATCATTATTTTATTATTAGTGGTTTAAATTTTAAAGTTTTATTTGTTTACTATCCATGTTTCAACTTAGATAGACGATCATGTTATTAAAAGATAACTGTTAATAATAACAAAATAAAACTTTAAATATAATAAAAAACAAAACAAAACAAATGTTTTTCTATAACCTAACAGCAAAGGGAAATACATAAAAACTTACTGCGAATTTTCTGCTTCCGTATCTTCTTTCAAATATCCTAAAATTATAAATAAGCAGACTACTGCAGAAAGTATCTTTCAAATCAAGGCAAATTATTCTTCCACATATCAGCCTCCAAATCTAGATGGGGATTTTAAAAAAAAACAATAAATAAGAGTAAGATCTGTTCAGATTGGTCCTTAACAAATGTATCATGTTTACTTTATACTGCTTATTTTTTAAACTCTAATTTAAGCAAAATAAGAGTCTCATGCTCTACCGACTGAGCTAGCCGGGCACTCCTTAATTTAAGCAAAATAATGCATATGGAAAAGAAAAACTACATACATGTTTTCCCTGAGAATGAGCTCAATTCTCTCATACTAAAATTCTTTTTGCTTTTTATAATAAGAAAATATATTCTCATTAAGACAACAGAAAATTTCCTGTAGAAAATTTTAAGATTCTGTTTAATACAATAAAACAAAAATTATATATGTGAGCTGAAATGAAAGGCTAACAAATGTTTGTTTTTATGCTACTAAATAAAACAGAGGTGTAACAGAAAAGCTATTTAGGAACAAACACAACAACATCCATTTCTAAGCTCCATTTTTTTTTTCTTTAAAGTTTTTTTTTTCTTTATTGATTTAGAGAGAGAGGAAGGGAGAGGGAGAGAAACATGGATGAGAGAGAACACTGACGGCCGGCCACCTCCTTCATGCCCCCCACTGGGGATCAGGCCCACAACCTGGGCATATGCCCTCACTGGGAATCGAACCAGCAACCTCTTGATGCATGGGTCAACGCTCAACCATTGAGCCACACCGGCTGGGCTCTAAGCTTAATTTTAATGATCAACCTATTTCATACCTACCAACCATTTACAAGACAAATTATGGCAATTGTTGCTAACTATTACATGGTTTAAAATTTTCTAATAATTTAACTTTTAGTTTGCCTAAATCCAATTTTCCTCATGTGAAAAACACATAAGGGGATATTCAAAAAAGAAAGAACTACTCAAAGGCCTATTCTGAGATTTCTTAAATATTTTCCAGAATTTTAAAAAAATATATTTTTACTGATTTTTTTCAAGAGAAAGGAAGGGAGAAAGAGATAGAAACATTGATATGAGAGAGAAACATCGACCGGCTGCCTCCTGCATGCCCCCTACTGGGGATCAAGCCCACAACCCAGGCATGTGCCCTGACCGGGAATCGAACCAGACCTCTCAGTCCATGGGACAACGCTCAATCCACTAAGCCACACCAGCTGAGCTATTTTCCAGATTTTTTAAAGATAATCCCAATGACATTTGCAAAACATTCTGATATTATTTCCCCTTCACAATTACCTTATAAGATAGGTACAACAAATATTAACCCTTTCCTTTTTTTTTTTGTATTGTTTTTATTTTGGTAAAATATACATAAAATAAAATTTATCATTTTAAGTATTTTTAAATGTATAATTCAGTGGCATTAAGAACATTCATAATGTTCCCCCATCACCACTATTTCCAGAACTTTCATCACCACAATTTCCAGAACTTTTCGTGATCCCAAGGAGAAACTCTGTATCCATTAAACAATAACTCCCCATTCTCCTCTCCCCTCAGCCCCTGGTAACAATTATTCCTCTTTATGTCTCTAAAAATCATACAATTTGTCCTTTTGTGTCTGACTTATTTATTTCACTTAGCATAATGTCTTCAAGGTTTATATTAAAGCATGTATTAGAACTTCATTACTTTTAATGGCTAAATAATATTCCACCATATGTTTACATTACATTTTTTAAATCCACTCATCTGTTAATGGGCATTTAGATTGCTTCTACCTTTTGGCTATTATGAATAATGCTGCTATGCACATTGGTAAAATTAACTCTATTTTAAAATAAAGAGAAAGATGCACAGAGAAAGTATTTTACTTGTTTAAGGTCATATGGCCTGTGTTATTGCCAATAGACATAATGACAGTAATACAAATGAGAATATAGACTATACCAACTGTCAAAACATTTCACTTCTGTCTCAGTTCGATATACTGAAGTATATCATCAGTATACTCCAAAATAGGAGGGCATTGGACTGATTTAGGGATGGCCAATAGAATTCATTTCATGTGTCAATGTAACTGAAATAGGGATGGCTGCCTATAAATCCGTGTTAAGGTCACACTTGCGTTCAAGGAGAAACAGCCCTATAATCAGTTAGCAATAATCATCATGGGCACACATATGGAACACAGGTGACATCTCTAAAGTAAATTTCTTTTCTCCCTCAGAAATTCCATGACTCCACACCAGAATCACATTGAAACTTTAGGCGAGCACATATGACCATATACATGATCAAATAAGACAATATACATGAGAGTGTTTTGTATACTATCTAGTGCTTGACAAATAAAAGATGATGATGACTGTCACCTTTGCAGAACCAAGAAGTGGAAACCATGAACAATAGCTCCAAGTCTTCTATTCCCCACATTTAAAACTATCAAAAAAAGTATTCTACTCAGGGCCAAGCCATGAGAACCACTAGAAAAACCTGAGGGATTAAGGAAATTAAGACTTTACGATTATTAAAACATAACAAATTTATAGAACCTCATTTGTTTTGTTATTTTCAGTTGATGACAAATAAAACTAGAAGCTACACTTCTAAATAATGTGTGTTTTGTAATTTGTTCTATGCTCAAAGACATAAAAACGTGTGACCTGGTATAAGAATAAATCACTGGGGCCCTGGCCAGTTTGGCTCAGCGGTTAGAGCGTTGGCCTGCGGTCCAGAGAGTCCCAGGTTCGGTTCCCATTAAGGGCACATACCTCAGTTGCAGTTTGTCCCCGGCCCCGGTTGAGTCGTGTGGGAGGCAGCCACTCGATGTGTCCCTCTCACATCGATGTTTCTCTCTCTCTCTCTCTCTCTCTATCTTCCTCTCTCTCCCTCCCACTCTACCTGAACAAAAAATGAGAAAAAAAAAAGGAATAAATCACTGGTTATTACCAAAAGGTGACTGCTCCCTTTGAAGATCAATTACTGACTTGGACTAAACAAAACTTTCCTTCTGCATTACAACCTGAAAAACATTAGAAGCAGGATCTCTGCCTTAAGTGTCAAAATTTGGGAGAGTCCATACTTGCAAAATAAAGCCTTTCACCAACTGCCTCTCCTGTCCTCATCTAATCTAATCTTGCTCTAGTCCCCAGCCATGCTTCCTATACAGTACTCTTAAGGGTTTGAAGTTCATATTGCTTCAGGAAGTAAAATGCCCTCTCTCTACTACTAATAAATTATCATCCCTCCTTCAAACCAAATGGAAAATTCATATCACTACAGCTCTCCAGGGCTATTCCATTCTATACTAGTCCCGACTTCTTTAACACCCCCTGAGGATTTAATGTACACTTATGTCTTATGTATGTATATGTATGGATTTCCTAAGACAAAACTAAAACTTCATATTTCTGTAGCTACTCTTATAAAAGCAAAGTAAGAGCTTCTTAGGAGATTCTAGCAGGAGTGTGGCTATTCACATCCCTGGACAGAAGAGTGGTTGTCTTCTGTATCTTCAGATAGATGCCCATAAAGTAGCATAGTGGAAGGGGATGCTTGCCTACTTAGCCAAATTAACCAAAGTAACCCCTCAAATCAGGAAGGTACCAACTCAGGGCCAGATGGCCCTTATAGCAGTGGTTTTCAGCCAGACTGTACAGCCAGATTGAGAACCACTGCATTATAGCAAGTGAAATAATACAGAAGCTATACTATATTCTGACAGAAAATGGTAGTTGGGATAAATAACTGAAAGACCTTCACAGGAACTTGGTAAAGCCAACCTGAGTGGTATTAATTACATCATTATGAGGAAAAGGGGGATTATTGTGCTTAAAATGGATAATTAAGTATTCAGCAAAGAAAAGGTGGCAGGCTTATACACCATAATTTGCACTAACACTCCAACTCACAGATAAGACCCAGCACCAGCATGTTCAATGAGAGCAGCCCATTTATCTTGAAAACCACAGAGTTCTGCTCTTCCCAGAACCAAAAACCCAAGAGAAATTTCCTACTTGGTTTAACCCCATTATAAAAATAATTCATAGATTCACAATCTGTTAGAGCTGAAAGAGCTTAGATCATCCAATCAATATTCAAACTGATGCAGGTTTTTGAAAATGTTAAGTATGCATACTAATCATTAAAAACATATTTAGCATTGTTTTTAATTCTCTTGAATTATAAATTGCATTTTCATGCATATAAAGTGAAACTGAAGCGAGACAGTGCTTTATTATAATCTGCTTTGCTGAAAACATCAGTAAATAAAACTAAAGAACTTGTTAATAGAATATTAATGATAAACAGTATTTCTTACAAATTTAGAGGCTTTGAGGGACTAAGAATAACAGAAAGAAAAGGCAAATCTATAAAATCTGCTTTCTCCCTTCCCAAAGGCCAGTGAAGCAGAGCTCACCTGAAAGTTGTCCTTGACTGCTTGGAGGTCATACAGGAAAAATCTCTGACAGTGTGGTAGGAGAAGGATCAGCAAAAGAGATAGGGCACTGGGGACCAGTAAAAGACTCTTAGATAGAGGTGCCTTGTCTGGAGGGAAAAAGGAAACCACTTTGAGAATGATTGTTCCTAAGATTTAAAAATAAACACATAAGTGAAAAGCAAGATAATTCATTTTTTAAAAAATTAAAATGAAGGTAAATGTCACAAACTTGGAAATTAGTTCTCATTAACATATATTTCAAAACATCTACCTGCAGAGGTAAGTGACCAAAGGTCACTGAAAAACAAGTGGCATTTATTGGCAGGGGCTTCACTGTCGGTTGGCTCCTATATGTGACCAAACCAAGTTTACAGCCAGTAACTCCCATAAAATAGCTTTCAGAACTCTTGGCATGCACAGATTCACATACATAAATACATTTTTAAAAATTTAAACATTGGTAAAAGTGCTAACATTAATGACTGCAGCAGCCTACTAAGATTTTCTACCCATGAGTATAACTGGAGCCCAAGTTTGTTCTCCATTTTAGAGCCTTGTCTAAATATTATGCAGCCTTCAAATTCAGCTCCACTTCCACTTCCCTCCATCTGTCTCAGTGAAGCATTTTTAGGCTGAGGGGCTTTTCCCCAACTCTGCACCCTTATTTCCAGGCACTATTTGAATACTCAGGGTTTTGTACCTGTTTTGCCTTCCCAACTATATTAAAGATTCCAAGTTTGTTCTCCATTTTAGAGCCTTGTCTAAATATTATGCAGCCTTCAAATTACAGCTCCACTTCCACTTCCCTCCATCTGTCTCAGGGAAGCATTTTTAGGCTGAGGGGCTTTTCCCCAACTCTGCACCCTTATTTCCAGGCACTATTTGAATACTCAGGGTTTTGTACCTGTTTTGCCTTCCCAACTATATTAAAGATTCCCTAAGAAAGACCACCGCACCTGCCTTCTCTTCTCTATGTTGGCAATAAAGCCTAGCGCAGCCCCTTGCACCTATGAAACGTTCAGATCATCAATAGGCAAGACCACAGAAAAGTATCACTGATGGATACCTTTTCAGATCATATGAGGTACACTTGAATAGTATTCACAAGAAATTCCCTAGGAGTGAATTACTAATTACAGTTGGTAATGTGGTTACTGAGCTTGTTTAAGTATATAAAAATAGCCCAACTGTTTCCTTTCTGGTAAGGTCTTGCAACATATAAATTGGAACCATTAGTAAAGTGGTTGCATACTGTTTTCATGACAGACACAGGCTTCAAGGAATCTAAAAGCTAACAGAACTCCCCATCCCCCAGATAAGGGAGCTCCCCATTACCTCAATAAGTACAGAAGAAGCAATAAGCATAACTCAAAAATATAGCAGAGCACTATGGCTATGAACTTAACCAACCTAAATTCTACGTTGAGCAGTTTCAGCTCTAGTTTTCCTCACCTGTTAAATGAAGATAAGAAAAGCTACCTCAAAAGCATCATGAGAAGTAAATAAAATAAAGAATGACTATAGGGAAAACTGCTTCTCCCACTGCAATCACACCACCCCAGGAGAACAGGTTTCTTTAAAAGGCAAGCTCCTTTATTGTTGTGACAGGACCAAAGATGGAATAGGTGATATAGGGGCAGCTGGAATCATGCTTCCTTCTTCAGCTTGGGCTTCCATGATGGACTTGTAAAATGGACTCCATCATTCATTGCTGCCTCTTCCAGGCCAGCTTCTGAGTAATTCAACATTACTGGAGAAAATCAAACAACTGAGCTGCAAGATTTCACGGTAGGTTCATTGTCTCAAATCTCAAACTGACACTCTCCACTGATCAACAGTTTTACTGCTTTTCTCTAGTAAGTCTACTCTCCAACTTATTTCACACATCTCATCCTCTCTCCTCAAACCTCCCTGCTCCACACTCCTAATGTGGCTTACATGTGACCACTGAATAAATGAATGACATGCTTTAGTATTCTCAGTCATTCTCTAAATTAATAAGCATCTACTCTTGACCATGCATTATCCTAGGCCCTGGGGTACAGCACTAAGTGATGGAAAAAGTCCCTCCCCTTTTGTGGTGCTTACAGTCTAGACAGGAGATGAAAGAACATACACAAACAAAGGTAAATATGTAGTATGTCAGATGGAAACAAATGTTATAGAAGAATCAAGCAGGGTAAAAAGTGTAACTATGTCATCCATCATAGATTTCCTGGTCTCTTTCAAGATACATGATATCTTTGTTTGCTACTGCAGCATCACTTAGTGGAAAACATAATGCTAGCAGGGAAAGAGGGGTGCTATTTTACATAGGGCGGTGAGAAGCCACTTCTAATAAGGTGTGACTTAAGTAGAGACCTGAAGAAGTAGGCCTTGAAGATATCTAGGGGAACAGTATTCCTGACAGAGGAAACAGCAAATACAGATGCTTTGAAACAGGAACATACTCAACATGATTAAAAAACTGTAAAACCACCCCTCTCCCCAACTCTATCTGAAGACAAAACAAAAATATCCTCGGGTAAGGACTAAAAAATAATAATAGTTTAAAAAAAAGGTAAGTAAGGTTAAATAAGATCAATAAAAGTGGGGCCCTAATCCACACACACAGAGGAAGGACCAGGTGAATGAATACACATGGAGAAAATGGCTATCTCCAGCTCAAGGAGAGAGGGGAAAAGACAAACTTGCCAAAACCTTGATCTTGAACTTCCAGCCTCCAGACCTGTGAGAAAATAAATTTCTGTTGTTTAAGCTGTCCCATCTGTGATATGTTATTATGGCAATCAGTAAGAACATAGAAGACTTGAAAAAGCAGTATCAATCAATTTGACCAGGTTGACATTTATAGAACACTCTATCCAACAACAGCAAATTACACTTTTTTTTCCCAAGTGCTTATGGAACATTCTCCACAGCAAACCATATTCTGAGCCATAAAACACACCTCGATAAATTTTTAAAAATTTAAATCATACAAAATATGTCCCTGATTACAAGAGAATTAAACTAGAAGTCAACGACAAGAAGATGAATGGAAAATTCACCAAATATCTTAAAATTAAACAACATACTTCTAAATAATATCCGGGTCAAAGAGGGAGTCACAGGGAAATTAGAAAATATATTAAATAGAATGCAAAGTGAAAATACAACCAACCAAAATCTGTGGGCTGTAAATAAAGCAGTTCTTAGAGGAAAATGTATAGCATTAAGTGCTTAAATAGGAAGAAAAATGGTCTCAAATGATGATGTATGCTACAGGCTTTTAAAAACTAGGAGCAAATTAAACCCTAAGAAAGCAGATGAAAAGAATAATTAAAATCAAAGCAAAAATCAATAAAATAGAAAACCAAAATATAACAGAAAAATCAATGAAACTAAAAGCCGATTCTTTGAGAGGATCAATTAATATTAATACACCACTAGCAGGTAATCAAGAAAAAGAAAAAGAAAAAATTACGAGTGTCAGGAATGAAGGAGGGGACATCACTATAGATCCCACAGGCATTAATAGGCTAACAAGAGTTTGCACAACATTGTGAAATGTACTTAATGTTACTGGACTGTACACTTAAAAATAGTTAGAATGGTAAATTTTATGCATGAACTTTTTATCACAAATAATTTTTAAAAGGATAGTAGGGGATATTGGAAACAACATTTTGCCCATAATTTGACAACTTAGATGAAACAAATTCCTTGAAAGACACAATCAACCACAGCTCACTCAAAAAGAAAGAGATAACTTGAATAATCCTCTATAGAAATGAAGAAATCGAACTCATAGTTAAAATTCTTCCAACAAAGAAAACTCCAGTCCTGATGGCTTCACTGAAGAATTCTACCAAGCATTTAAGAGAAAAAGAATACCAATTCTAGTCCTGGGTGGTTTGGCTCAGCAGTTAGAGCATCGGCCCATGGACCAATGAGTCACAGGTTCAATTCCGGTCAAGAACACATATCTTGGTTGCAATTCATCCCTGGCCCTGCTTGGGGTCGTGCAGGAGGCAGCCACTCGATGTGTCCCTAACACATCAATGTTTCTCTCTCTCTCTCTCTCCCCCTCCTTCCCTCCTACTCTATCTGAACAAAAATGGAAAAATATGCTCGGGTGAGGATAAAAAAAAAAAAGAATACCAATTCTACACAAACTCTTCCATCACACTTTCCAATTCATTTTGTGAAGCCAACAGTACATTGATAACAAAACCAGACAAAGACACTGAAAGGAAAACAACACACCAATATTTCAATCAAATATTAGCAAACTGAATTGAGCTATACATAGAAACATAATACATGACGACCAAAGAAAGTTTATACCAGAAATGTAAATAAAATCAATGTACTTCACTATATCAACAGAGTAAAGAAAAATGTACTGTATAATTCTATTCACACCCTGCACAAATATCTGCTTATTCTATGAAGCCAATTTTTGTCATGAGGCAAAACTGGTCACTTAATTAACTGTCCAGTCAATGATAGGCTATTGACTGTGTAGTCAATGACAGCCTACTCCTTTGATCTAATCTTATTAACACTAACCAACATTTGCTGAGCACTTTCCAAGTGCAAAATACCATACACAGTACTTTATATGTACTACCTTGCTCCTGACACTTATACCTCAGGGCCTTTACACCTGCTATTCCCTCTGAGACCCAAAATGTTCTTCCCACATCCAACTTATCCTGATCATTCAGTCCGCATTTCTTTTTTTATTTTTTATCCTTACCCAAGGATATTTTTCCATTGATTTTAAGATAGAGTGGAAGGAGGGAGGGGGAAAGAGAGAGAAACATCAATGTGAGAGAGACACATTGGTTGCCTCCCCCATGACCTTGACCAGGGCTGGGGATTGAACCTGCAACCCAGGTATGTGCCCTTGGCCGGGAATTGAACCCATGACCCTTTAGTCCATAGGCCTATGCTCTAACCACTGAGCAAACCCGGCCAGGAGCAGTCTAATAACATCTCAGAGTGGCTTCTTTTTTTTTTTTTTATCCTCACCTGAGAACATTTTTCCATCTTTGTTCAGACAGAGAAAGAAACAAAGAGAGAGAGAAAAACATCGAGGCAAAAGGGACACATTGAGTGG